AAGCCAACACCACCAACCTTGAATCATTCTGCAGCCAGAATATATTTAAGTAATTGTATGCTTTAATTGTCCTGCTGCTTTGATAAAATACCCTGACAGAGAGCAACTTAACAAAGGGTTACTTTGGTTCACAGTTCCATGGATAGTTCATCATGATCAGGAGATCATCGTAGCATGAGTTTGAGACAGCTGGCTCTGTTGCTTCCACAGTGCAGAAAGAGAGTGTCCTTGTTTAGCCTTTCTCTTTTGTGTATAGTTCAGGACCACAACCCAGGGAATGGTGCCACTCACAGTAGGCTGGTCTCCTCACCCCAGTTATCCTAATCACAGGCATGCCTACAGGCTCATCTCCCTGTTGATTCCAGAGCTGATTGAGTTGGCATTTGAGATGCCATTAACCATGGCAATGAATATTCCTGCTTGCTTAGTAATCACAGAACAGACCTTGTCAGAGGAGGGGTTTCTTCTGCGCAGTCTATCGGTATTGGCTACACAACAAGCATTGGTTTCCCCCCTAACTTTTAGAGACTGGGCTGGTCTGATCATACATCTGCTTATACATCTTATCTGGGTTTAGTGTCTCTTGTGGTGGATAGTAGCATGCAACAGGAGAGAGGCACTTGTCGTGGAATTCTTCCCATAACTCCAGGAAAAGTCACCACTCGGTCCCATGACACTCCTCAGGACTTTCTACGCAGGCTTCAGAAACCAAATTGGAGATAGACTCTCGGTGTTTGCACTCTGGTTGAAGCAATCTCTAGAAAGAATTCCTCAATCAAGGACATCTAAGCTTTTTGAAATAACTCGTTAACCGTCTTTGCACAGGAACACCGGCTTTACTCCTGTTCTTGATTCACAAAGTGCTTTGTCTGTATTCCCAGAAGGGGTTTGCTTAGCAGTAGGTGCTAACCCAACCCCTCGGCCTTTTCAGATAGCATGCGAATGGACCAGAGAAGTCCTCATAATTTGCAGCAGTTCTATATTGAATAATTCAGGAGAGTCAAGTCCTCATGGTGTTAGCAATTCTGTGCTTCTGACCCTTCTAGACCATGTGGCCTGAGGACAGGGGAGTGGAAGCCAAGATGCCATTTTCCTGTACTAGATGAGTGAGCCTCTTATGTGGCCTTTTCAAGTTGACAGGCTAAAAATAAGTAGAATAAAATTGGTACCCTTCATTAGCCCTTCATGCTCTGTGGACGGCATTAAAGGGAGATGTAAATAATTTCCAATTCAGTGAGGTGCTCTTATAGGAACATGCGTTTTAAACAGCGTTCTATCATGGTTAGTAGCATTTGCATTTCAGCCCTCGCCTTCAACCATCTCGGCTTTCCTTTGCCTCTCTGAAGTTCTTTTGTACCTTCTTCATTCCTCATGGAGATTTCAGTTGATGTCAAAAGTCACAGCGCTTCCCTTTAGCCCAGCCCCTTGGCGTGGCAGGTTGTGTCTGCAGAATTGAGAGAGCAGCATTCCCCTACCTCCCAGCATCTAAGCAGCAACGCACCCGCCCGCATCAGCATGTTTAATCACAGCGTGGACTTCCATCCGTGGCTCATGCTTTACAATACCTGAGTGCATTCATATCCCTGTCTATACAATTTAATTTAATTAGAGCCAGGCTTATAATCCTCGTGGAAAAAAATCCTTACTGCTCCCAGTTTTAAAATAAAGTGCCTTTGGCTTTCATCTGGTTGACAATTTGCTTTAAAGGTGAATGAGCCAATGGTTACTAATCTAGACACCTTTTCTTTGGGTAGAGTCAAACAAGAGCAATAGCGGTGGTGAGAATAAAGGGGCCACTTGCTTTAGAATGTTGGATGTGAGTCCCCTTTAAGCCCTCTGTGTAAAAGTCTCTGAGATAGCCATGCCTAGTTTTTCTAGTAGCCGGTAGCTGCTGCTGAGCCAGTATAGATGTTAAGCACATGGCTATAGTGAAAGAGTAAAAACTGAGTACCATGTAAGTCAGGCTAGAAGTTAGACAAAGTACATTCCTTCTTCAGCGTAGGCTTCCTAGCTGTTTATTCTGTTCTTCTCAGAAAAGAGCCCACATACCAGGAACAGCCTCCCAGGGTCTTTGCTGGCTGCTAAGCCCCGGGGTCCAGTAGGTAATCATTGTTGCCCACAGGTTGCTCAAGGCCTGAGAAGCACAACTGACCTTTTTCCCCTTTGTGGTTGAAGTAGCTACTCCCATGTTGTGGATGGGGTCTGAACCTTTCACAGCCTGACTTCCGCTTACAGCTTCCCAATCAGGTTCCAGAATCAATCAGGCTCTGGCCTGCTGCTGGTAGATCTCGTCATGCGAGAGTGTGACTCTCTCTAATACTACTGGACAGGGAGCATCGCACAGGGTCCAAGAGCCAGCACTGACACATGCCATCACTGTAGTTGTGAGGTCAGGAACTTTGTAGAAGTGAACGCTTACTAAGCAGCTGCAGTGTGCCAAAGGCACAGCACAACAATAAAATTGCAGTCAGGAATAGATGCGCTATGCAGGTGACTCCAGCCAGACCCTGGTTGCTGGGCTGATGGTAAAATCTCCCACAATGCAAAGTAGAAACTTCTGTGGTGGGAGACTGCCATGTAGGGGCCTCCTCTCTTACAGACAAGCATGAGGTTCTTGTGAGCCCTTGCTTTGAGATAGAGCTCATTATATTATGAAATACCATCTCTCTCTCTCTTTTTTCTCACCCTTGTGCATGCCATTTGAGGGCCCCTTGACGGTACCGGGCTTCTCCATCAATAGTTTCACTTATGTAAAAAATATAACAAAACAAAGCTGTTTGTGGACCTGGAGTTAGCTATTGATAACTAAATGTGATTAGACTGGGGACTTGTTTGAGGAGCATAGAGAATTTATTCAATGATGTCATAGTCGTGTGGTTGAAGTGCTCAAAAGCTTATTTGCACCTGGGATGGGGAGCCCTCTCTAGATTTAAGATGTGCTTCGCATATACAAGAGAGGTTGTTGCCTCTCTTACCCACAGGCCCCAAAACAGACACTCAAACACTAGAAAGAGTAACTTACGTGTCTATTAGAATTACTTGAAATACCCAGTGTTTAGGGTTTCTGTCTGTTTGTTTTGTTTTTAAAAAAGGGAAGTTGGATGTTTTGCATCTTGAGACATCTCGGTTGACATAGAAATCCAGTCTAGGTACATGGGAACCTAGACTGGAATGAGATCTTCATCAGGATCGTTGAATGATGCGTGTTTAAACAGTACTCTGGCTGACTCCTTGCTGCTCGAAGATGCCTTAGGGGAAGTATGGCGATTCCATATGGAAACTATAATATGTATATATTTTCATTTAAAATTAAAATTTACCATGCCAAGTGCTGAATTTTCCAGGTTCTGAGCAGAAGAAAGCTTGACTTTGGTTCCAGGGCCAAGGGGACTCCTGCTCTCCCCCTTCCTTCCCCTTGCCTATTTGATAAAATACACAGCATTAAAGATCTGTCTTTCCAAGGAAAATGTAAGGACCTGCCCTGCCCCCCTCCCCTTTTTGAGGCTCAGCCTTATGTAGCCCAGGCTGGCTCTTTTGAACTTCTTTTATCTACCTTTCGAGGACTGCACACCTGGCCAACCCCTCCTGGCTTCACCCTCGTCTAGAATTTACTGTTGCCCCTGAAATCTGTTTTCCTAGTCTCAACTCACTGATCTTTCCTCCAGGCTGATTTTTGGACCTTGCATTTCTCTCTTTTGTTTGTCCAGTTATATCAAAGGCACCGTTGTAAGTCAGGTTTACTGTGTGGACTGCAAGTCGGGCTGGTGGTTGCTGTTGTAGATTGCAGCTGCAAATTGTGCGTCTGCTCTTGCTGAACACAGTAGTTGTTTCCAAGTTACTGTTATAAAAACCCTTCTCCGATCGCTCGTTGGGCTTTAATTGATCCAGCAAATACTGATTGCGTAAGGTTGAATGGTGGGTCTGTTATAGCCCCGCTCACCTCCTTGTCTGCTGATGAGTATCTCAGTCATTGTCAAATAGATTTGAAAAGATCCCTGGAACACTTCAAAGAGAACGGAAGTAATTGTTTGTGACGGGAAGGAAGAGAGAGCAAGGGGATCCTTGTTCATGTAGATATTGAAGAAGAGACGTTTAAACACTGGCTGTTTGGGGTTGTGGTTTTGGTATAGCGAGATAGTGAAAGAAAATTAATTAAATCATCTGGGGCTATAACTCAGTCGGTAAAGCGCTTGCTGAGCGTGTACGGAGCTCTGCGTTAGCACTGAATAACCAGGCATGGTCACACGTATGTAATCTCAGCATTCAGAAGATAGAAGCAGGAGTGTCAGGTTTTGGAGGCCAGCCTGAGCTACATACATAGTGCGTTGGAGGCCAACCTGGGCTGTCAGAGACCACTTCTCAGAAATGAAGACAAAAAAATAAATCTAGATCTTAAGTCTTTGGACTTAGAAACCGTCACTTTCCCACTTACTGGTACAGCTCGCTCTTGCTCTTGCTGGATTCGAGTATCGAATCATACTCTGATTAGAAGCTGGGGATCTTGCCAGAGAAGCGGAAGCCTGGTTTGAATGCATTGGTGACATTCAGTATGTGACTTGGAAGAATAATGTTGGGGAGTTGCTTTGGAAGGCTACTCTCAGACTTCTTGTTTTCCCTTGCTCATCTTGCCTCTCCTTATTCTGGTAACAAACCAGTGGTGTGGACCCTTATTGACCTGAGCCCAGTTTTCACCTTTCCAGTGTTTTTTATTTGCTTGTTTTGTTTTTAAATTAAAACAGAGGCATTTAAAAGGTGGTATTACTCAAGGGCATGCCTAATCCGATGATGCCAGTGGGCTGCATGTATCCCAGGGTAACTGTGTCTGTGCCCCAACACAGTTGTTGACAATGGGGCCATGCTGTGGCATCAGATGGTTGGACACCTCTGGTAGGGGCTCTCTGGGCAGGCTGCTGTCGCACAGACCCCTCCCGCCTTTTGCTCAGTTTCCCTCCTCCATTGCAACATTTCATTTTCTTTTCTCTCTCCCCTTTTCCTAACAGCAGGAACGAATTTCATATACACCTCCGGAGAGTCCAGTAGCCAGCTACGGGTCCTCAACTCCGCTTCATGTTCCAGTGCCTCGAGCGCTCAGGATGGAGGAAGACTCGATCCACCTGCCAGCGCACCTGCGTGAGTGTTTTTTACCTTCGAGGTGATGGAGGTTGGGAAGGGGAAGCGCGCACAGAATGCTGACCCAGGTGGATCCCTGGGAGAAGCTCTGGCTTTGAGATGGTGCTCGCGGGACTTGGCCAGCTGTCCTGGAATCTTTGACCTTCTCCCCATAATGGCTCTGAAAAGTTTGACATTCTTGACCCTTATTTTCTCAGTATTTTCATTCGTATCTGATGAAGACATGACTGGGGGGAAAAAAGCTAGAAATACCTAACAGATGACAGAGTTAATGTAATCTAGGAGGCCAAATGAGTTGTTGTTTTTTCTCAAGGTTTTTATCTCTAAGTTCATGCTTACTCCAGCTTCATATTTTATTTTATTCGGTTGTGAATTCAGACTCATTGTTTTTTAAAGTTACTTGTGAATGGGGGAGGGTTGGGTTGGGGTGTGTGCCAAGGTACGTATGTGGAGATCAGCGGCAGGGCATCTTTGGGGAGTTGGCTCTCTGCTTTCACCGTTGGTGCTGAGGAGGTGTGACCTGGCAGAGCGCCTTCACTTGCCATGCTGGCCCCTTCCCTTGACCCCTGCTTTATTTGTAAGCCACAGCCTTCCCTTCTCTAAGCGCCCCCCCCCCCCCCCCCCCGCCTCGTTTCTCCATATACTGGCTGCTTTCCTTCCTTTCATTTTTATGTACCATCACATGTCCTCCCCTTCTTCTCTCATTTACTCATTCCCCTCTCCCTTCTTTTTCTTGGCCATACTCTGCCTCAATGACTTCCCCCTACTCCGAGTTGTTAAGTGCATCTCGACAGAGCCTTGGGACCAGCGTGCCCCTGTGATCAGTGTTAGTCTCCAAAGCATCGACCCCTGCTGTGTCCTTTCTGTCTGCTCCTCTTCTACTGGTACCCAGCCCAGGGGATAAAATGTGACTGGAGCATCCAGAGCAAAGGAATCACCTGACTTCCCACCCTCACCACTTGTGTCCAAAAAATGCCAGTTCCTCTGACTTGAATGTCGTCTCGAGGGCACACGTCCAGGTTCTGATGGGCACTGGGGTGGCATTAGGACTTTCCAAAGTGATTCCCAGTGACTCGAATGTCACATAGTCCTGCTCGGTGTCCCTTGGCATGATGGTGGTCCCTAGGTTGTCCTGCTTTCTTTATCTGCCCCTCTTCAGAAGATGGCTTCTTGAGAGTAGGGAACAGTGGGTGACAGAGGGTGCGTGATTTGTGTTACGGTTGGATCTCGGCCGGTAGTGTTGGGTCATCCCTTCTGCTTATAGTTCGGATGATTGCTCGGATTCATATGGGACACTGGAATCCTCCCTTCTTCCACCATATTGTGTATAGAAAGTGTTGCCTCCCATGACCCAGACATCCCTGTGTCATATCTTAAGCAGGGAGGCAGAAGGCACAGCCCCGTTTTCCATCGCACCCTCCACAGTGGTCTTGCAGAGCAGAGGTGGTGTCTGTAGAGCTGCAGGCAGGGTCATCCCTAGAAAGCGGAACTGTTGCGGCACCAGTGGAGCAGAAGAACAGGAAAAGAAACAACAAGCCGTAGCAAATTTGCCTCCAGATACCGTCCTGTCACCAGTGTATTTCCTTCAGGAATGTTACCTTGGGTAGAGCACATTCATGCCAGGCAGACAAAACACCTCTACCAAATCTCACTTTCTTATTTTGCCAGTCATTCCTGGTAGCCTGTGCTCTGCCAGGCAATGTCCTAGGTACCCCAGGTACCAAGATGTAGAAAGCAGAATTCCCTGCTTTTACAGAGCTTAAAAATTACACACAATTATCCCAGACAGGGTGAGTTTTTTTTTTTTTTTTTTATACTATGTATGTTCCTATCTTTTTCAACACCCCTCGAGGGACCCTGAGTCCTGATAAGCCTCCAGGCACCTTTGCCATATGTGAGCTCTTTACTATAGAAATTGTCACAGAGAAAAAAAACCAACCTAGCAAGCAGACTGAACTGGTGATTAGATTTTTCAGTCTGAGCTCATGTAGCTGTGAACTGGTCGTTTGTTTCTTTCTTCCCTTCATGTTTGCATTGGAAACGAGGATGCTTCAGTCCTTCTTCCTTTAAAGGTGGCACGTCTCGTCTCCACCCTCATCATCCTTATCCGGAACTGTCTTTCCTTAGCAACACTAGTCTCTCCTTGAGAAGGCAGCTTCCTCACTGAGCCACCTCTCCTGCTTCCCAGCATATCGCCAAGTGCAGCACACTGTCCTAACAGCTAGTAACAAGCTGGGCGTGGTGGCGCGTGCCTTTAATCCAAACACTGAGAGGCAGAAGCAGGTAGATCTCTGTTGCTTCAAGGCCAGCCTAGTTTACAAATTGAGTTCCCAGACAGACAGAGCTCATAGAGAAACACTGTCTCAAAACAAACAAACAAAATTATTAATGCCTAGTAATTATTGTGACACTATATGAAATCTTGTGTATATATAAATTATTCTATTTCAGTCTCATTTTAATATCTGTAAAGATAGATCTTTTTCTGTTTATTTCCATACCATTCATAAAGACGATCTCCATGTTACACATAAAGGCTTACAGATTTTTATTTTATTTTTTTTGGCAATGCTAGGGATCAAACCCAGGACCTTGCATGTGTTAGGCAAACACTCTACTACAGAACTTTATCCCTAGCCCAGGACTTCTAGAATTTAAGTAATTTTTTTTCAGTGTTGGTTATAGAACTAGTAAGATGGCAGGGTCAAGAGTCAAGTTCAGTCTTGTCTGATCCCACAGCTTAGATTCTTATGGACAAGTGTAATAGGGTTGCTGTTTGGTCAGTTGCACTGATGTGGCCCCATAATAGGCCTGTGGCTGGAACCCGTTTTCTGAACTATTTTTCCCTTGCTGAAGAACTTGTGTGTCATCCCTGGATGGGTGGATGGATGGATGGATGGATGGATGGATGGATAGAAGGACAGATAACCAGGTGGATGGGTGGGTGGGAGGGTGGGTGAATTGACGGATAGATGGATGATCACCAAGATAATTAATTACCCTCTGTAGAGTTGTCGCACATTCCTGCCGGCCTGGGGGATAATCAGTAGGTTATGGACTCATGGCAGGGCAGTGGTTTTCCTGAATGTCTCAGCTGTGGCAGTCCAACTTAAGTGATAGCTCTCCTTGGTAGTGTGCAGAAGCCCTGTTGTGACATGGTTGGTTTCAACATCTGGAATGAATCCTCTACAAGTAGAAGTTCCCAGGCTCTTGCTGTCTGCCCTCTGCCGGGGCTTTCCAGGCAAGCTAGCTCAGCTTCCCTCCTCCCTCTTCTAGTTCAGGACCGCCTGCTCCTTACTGTATTTGAGGAACTCAGTGGCCGCTGACTCTGTGAAGTTGGGCCATACACTTGAAGATGCATCCCAGCTGAGTTTCCAAACATAAAAAAAAAAAAAAATAGCAAGGGAATTAGGTTACTGCTGTTTTAATCTGGGATTCCAGACAATTCCCAGTAGAATGTGCGTGGAAAGTACGGGGAAGAATATGAGAGCCAGGACAGCAGCGGGACATTTATGGTATTGCGAGGTTGGGAGCATTCTCAGGGGCCTGTTTTAAAAGAAGTACCAGGCTAATATGGCTCCCAGTCGCTGTTTCTTGCCGTTTCTCTGGGTATCCAGCTAAACTTCGCTCTTAACTTTCTTTTCTTCTCTCATTCTTAAATAAAAATAAGATTTGGAAAGGGGGAGGGCAGGACTCTAATAGCTGGGTTTCTCACAGATTCTCACCACTGTGTTCACAAAACCGGCTAAACTGATGCCCCAACCTGCCAAATTAACAAGATAAAAAGAGAGACTTAGGCTTTGCTTTGTGTTTGCTGATGTGATAAACGTGAAGTGGTAAATGAAGGAAGTGTTAAGTGATGACAAGGAGGAGCTGCGAGGACTTGCAGGGGCAATGCAGGACTTGGTGGGAGAGTCCCTGCCACCTTGGTCCTCATGCCCAGAACTGCAGCTCATGCTCTTGAGTGGTCCTGATGAGGGCCTCCCTGTTTGTGGAGAGGGCAGAAAGAGCATGCTCCTCTTCCTCCTCTCCTCCTTTCTCCCTCCATAAAGCCTGCTGATTCTTTATGAGCCAGAGGGAGGGGGACGGAAGTAAGCCTTAGCGGGCCATGGAAAGCAAAGTTACCTTTATACAGATCACCATCCTCCCTAGATGCGAGAGCTCCAGGGGGCTGGGTCAGGTTCACAGTTGGTCCTCATCATTGTCTGGAAAAGAAGTCTTTCCCCTGTTCTCATGGGGGCGGGGCCTGCCCTGTGAAGGAGGGACTTGATATTCTCCTGGAAAGCTACCTTTTATCAACTTCCTAGGCAGTGAGACCCAAGGTGCTGCTACTGGGCTGCCAGCAGAGGCTGCCCTGTGGGATTTGCATCCCTATGACCAGATGTCTGAGCCAATAGACTTGAAAGTGTTGTTTTGGTCCATGCTTCTGTAGCCTGTAATCTGTGGCCCCTGGCTCCTTTGTCCTGGGCCCCTGGCAAGGCAGAACATCATGATAGGGTAGTAGCTTCCAAGAAGCAAAAACAGAGAGACAGGCAGAGGGAAAGGGAAGGATCCAGGTTCCCCATAGCCCCTTTAAGGACACCTCCAGTCATTTAGCTTCTTTAGGTCCCACCTTCTAAGGGTCCCTCCATATTCTAGGAATACCATAGGCTGGTGCCCAAGTCTTTAACACATGGCTCTGTAGAGATCCAAAGATCCAAGCCTTAAAAGAGTCAGTGTGCTTGTAGGAGCCCTTTAAGTACCAGGCCTCACCCACTGGAGCCCAGGCTGGGTGGTACAGCAGCAAGATGAATGTGTTTCAGATGTATAGAGCAGAATTTAAACAGTTAACTATTTTCTTTTCAAACTCTATTAAACACGATCGCCTCATGTTTGGTTGATTTAATCACATTTAATCAAAGGTCGACATTAATGCCATTTGCCTGAAGACTTTGCATCTTACTCTATTTGGCCTTGCTCAGTCCTTATGAGCTGATATTAAAAGATGGGGACCCAGGACT